AGGAGGTAGTGCTGCCTGGGTCAAGAGGGTGGCTGCTGGAAGACCCTATGGTGATTTTCCAAGCATAGCTTAGATGTGGCACAAGGACAAAAGTATGGGGCACCCAGTGAGGACTGAACTCACTACTTGTTATACTGGAACACACCTATTCTATTGTTAATAGACTCTCCCACCTATAATAAGTAGGAGTAGTAGCAGTCGCTGAGTTGGTCAGTGAGTCGATGTTGGATGACTGTTAGTCGGATATTAAAGTATCATCCACCACAACTAGATTGCTGCTTCATTAACTATTATATCAAGTTCCTAACGTTTTGTACATCGAACCTATTTTAGGACCAACTTAGTGAAATATAAGCCTCCACTGTGAAACTACTCTATAACACTACTCAGTCATAACTGTCCTAGCGAGGCAAGCTTGCTAACCATTACACCACTACGGGGTGCCCAATATCTGGTAAATGGACTCTGTACCATGTCATATAAACAAGAGAACCCAATTATGGCTGTTAAGCAATTTCTGCAACCACTTCACCCCTTACATCTGGTCACCTAATTCCCCAGACTGCAACCTCTTTTATTATTATGTGTCGGTCACAGGTGAGCAAGAGACCAACAAAAATTATTGTTATACCAAACGTGAACTGAAGGCAAGGATTATGTCTGCATTCACTAACTTAAACAAAATGACTGTCCAGAAGAGTTTCAGGAGATCCCAAAGTTGTCTGGATGCTGTGGTTGAAGCCAATGGTGATTTTATTGAATACATTTACTCTTTAGTATTTCAAGATATTTGTGTGTAATTTAGGTAAATATATTTGTTAAAATGAGATCTCAGTGTTATTTTCATTTTTAGGTTGCAATTAATTCATTGCACTCTGTATGCATATGCACATATGTGAATGCCAAATTGTCATTCTGTCACACTTTTTCAACTTTACTCCTAGAAGCTATAGCTCAACATGTTACACCATTTTGAAATCAGGTTGACTCTGTGAGCAAATTTAAAACTTTCTGGTCTGGATCCTCAATCCTGAAATTTGGAATTCCCAAGTTTTCATTACTGCTATTGTTTTTAGCAATTTTTGTATCATTTTTTTTTTTTTCAACAAACTTTTTTGGTACAGCAACAATTTTTATAACTTGAAATTAAATTTGGGAATAATCAAAATTGCAAAATCCAGGGAAAGTCACCCATGAAATAAAAATAATTGTTTGTACAGAAAGTGAGGACCTACATACATAAAATTGTCTTTAAATTAAGTGGTGACAGACGACTTATCATTGAGCTTTTAAAAGGTAAGCTTAAATATTAATGCAATACTAAAATGCAGTGATCAATTTTGAGTTCTGTAGTTTATTGTTGGCTATCACATCTACTCTTCCCTAGCTATTGTGATGAAGGTCCAATCAAGAGTTCTCTACAGGATCTAGGTTAAATGCCGCTTGATAGAATGGCTTTTTAGTATATAGATATTTTAATGGCTTTTTACATTGAAAAAGTATAAAGTTTATCTTATTTGAACAAGAATAAACCAATCTATTCAAATGTTATCCATTCCTGCAGTCTAATTTTCTACTCTTTCATTATCAAAAAAGAATCAATCCCAAGTACTAAGCAGAATTTTTCTTTTTCAGCACCAGAGTTGTTTCCCTTTGCCACCAGGGGTCAGTTTATTTTTTTATTTTTTTTTTTCAGAAAGAAACAAAAAAAAACACTCTTGTTTGCTCTCAAAAAGTTCTTTTTCTTATTAAATGACAAATAATTGCAGTAATTACTTATGTACAATATTATTCCCAATTCAAAACCTGTTGAACTTTAAAAAAATTAAATTTTAGGTTTTCTGCAACCTTGACAACACCTGAGCACACTTAAAAGAAATCTGTTATTTGGACAACCTGATGTTAAATCGGTTCTAAACTGGTTTTGTTATATTGAAGGACATGGTTTTCAAGCATTTGATTTTGTAAGAAGCAGTTTGATTGGCTCTTCAGTTTAACCAATTGTCTTCTGTAGTTCAAAATCATTTGGTTGGTGTATTAATATTATAAACCTTTGTCAAGTTTGACACTAGCAATAATAGCTTTTTACTATTCCTTCCTTATAAGGTAAGGTAGTTATTGACACATTATTATGCAAAGTTAGCCATTAAGATATTCTTGTGATTAGGCATTTTTTGTCAATTTGTTTGGTAAAAGGATAGTGTAATAAGAGGATTTGTACCTTTTTTTTTTTTTTATTATAAAGTTTGGCTTTGAGACTTTATCTGTTATGGTAGCTAGGTAACATCTATTTTCAAACACCTTACACTGGAATTATGCTGAGTTGACCTATCAGTAGATGAACAAGTCCAGTCAATTCAAAACCGAAGTCACAGTGACTTCAAGCAAGCACAAAAAAATCATGACTTCCCAACAAGTTACTCAATCCAATTCCACTCACAAGACGTGGCTTCACCCATGATATAGTTTTAAAGCACTTTACAACAAAGTTGTAGTTACCCTTTATAGTGAATTGGTACTTTTCAGTCCTAGCTGGTACTTTTGAGTTCATTTCTCAGAGGAACTGCCATATTTGTGTCTTTGTTTTGGTTTAGTCAATATCTATATTAGATTGCTAGTTAAAATAAACATTCTATGAGAAGGTTGGAGGCACTTAAAGGTGTTCAGTACTGTTAAATAAAATTAAATTTCTGCTGAAGTTTCTGATAAGGGGGTGCTGAAAATTTTTTTTTTTTTCTTAACCAAGAAGTGATTTAAAAAAATAATAATTCTTATATTGGTCTCAATTGGTTAGATAACCCTGTGTCAACCCCATATAATCAGGATATGACCTAATTATAAAATTGTAATAAGTGAATGTAGTGAAATGTTTATACCTCACTATTTCTGAAGTAATGGACTTTTATTTATTAATAAAACATAGTTTTATAACTGCAAAGAAGGATGCAGATTTGAATCCATCCAGAGGGCACATTTTTTCTTTAATAAGATTTCTCGAATATTCAGTCTGGTAAATGAAAATAAATATACTGTTTAAAATATAAATGAAGTGTCTACTGAAATATGGGTATCTATTAAAAATAACATTGAGTTTTAAATTCTGTATAACACCCATAGTTGCTGGATTGCATGAAAAACACAGGAAATAAAAGGTTGAATGAAGAAGGTTTAATCACATGAATTGAGAATACAGTATTTCAATATAACAAGTGTACAGCTGCAAAGTGCTATGCTTTTGTGACCTGCTTTTTGCCTCTGTTCCATAAGCAGATGTTCTACTCATAGCAGATGTACAAGCCAATGTTTCAATAATAAGTGTAGAGGAGGTCAGTAAGTCTTTTTACACAACATGTTCAAAGTGATAAAAAAAAATGTTGGTTTAATAAATTAAAAATCCATTACTTCTTTAGAAATTGCTTTGTTTACATTTTGGATACGAAACTGAGCAGTTAAGAACTTGAGAATCTAAATGAGAAGGATGGCATTATTCACCTCTTGCTTAATTGATGATGCTCTTTCTGGCTGAAATGTTTACAAGCACATTAGACCTAATAACAGTTTCTCCCTACAAAGGGGGACATATGTTCAAGTCCTGCTGGGGGGGGGTGCATTTTTTCTTTAATAAGATTTCTTGAATATTTAGACAGGAAGATGAAAATAATTTTGTAAAATAAGGCAAGGGTATTTATGTTGGTGGCAAAATACTTTACTGATTGACAGACAGTGAAGGGGGAAAGGACAGGAGGTAACAAAATAAAACTGAGTAATGACTAGTGAGGCCACTGTCTCGGAAACCACAGCATGGTGGGCAGCACACAACTTCCAGAACAAAATACGTTATGCCAATGTCTTCACAAGACACAGTCTCACCAACTGCCTGCTGCTAGTTTTTCCTTTTGGTTTTATTGACATGAGACAGTTGACAAAGACCCAGATCTGGACAAATTGCAGTGAGGCCTGTATCCGGATCTACTGAGCTGTTCTGCTACCAATTTGTAAAAAAGCTGCATGTAACTAGCTTTGACAAACATGTCCACATGTGACTCAGGGCCTCTTTGCATCTGTACTGGCATGTGTTCACCACAAATATACTGTTTAACAAATAAATGGAATGTCTACTCCAATATGGGTGTTCACTAAAAATAACATTTGAAATGATAAAAACTTACTGTTTCTATGAAGATAAGTATTTTCATCATGAATTGTGTTTCTATTATTATATATAATAAAACTGGTTCTTTGTTTATTAATTGAAATAAATTTGATCTGCATTTCTGGGATGAGGTGTCATTTACACTATTTCCAGTGAAGATGATGAGACAACCATGAGACTTGGGTTCAAATCTCAGTATAGTCAGTTTGTCAGGAAGGTGACTTAACTATGCTGACTCTTGTGGTTCTACCTAGAATTGAACTCCTCATCTTTGGCTAACAAATTTCTGAAGATATTAGATTCTTGCTATTTTTAGATTGTAAGAATTTTTTTTTTTTTTTTAGATAATGATTTAGTGATACAAGTTAACCTATAGCTGGGGGGAGAAGAGGTGGATTAATACATAATCAGAATTTGATTAACAAACGAGACATTTATTATATGAAGTGGGAGATCAATTCTATGTTACATGAAATATATCAGAAATATATAAACTGATCCCTCATTTTGTGTCCTTTAATTTCTATGCATTTCAGAGAATTTTAAATAAATTAAAGAGACCTGCCTGTGGAGCTAATCAGTATTTGATTGATTTGTTTTCTACAGCTTATCAATATTTTGCAGGTTATACAGAGCCAAAAATATATATTTAGAGAGTAAGATATTTTTTTTTTAAGATAATGATTTATTGATACAAGTCTTACTAATTAACCCATAGCTGGGGAGAAGAGGTAGATTCATACCTTTCCCAAGGCTATTTGTGCATAAGTGAATATAATGAACCAAACTGAATTGGAACTCTGATTAACAAGTCTATTATACATTACATCACTCATGCATCCAAGCTTATAGCACCTGGTACTCTCGAGTGGTCACCCATCTAAGTACTGACCAGGCTTGATATTGCTTAACTTGGGTGAATTTATGGGCACTGGTGTTTCAAAGGATTTATGCTGAGTTGGTTGCATGTGGTGCAGTAAGCACCTGAAGTTACATTTTCTTCTACAATTGTCTGTTGAGAGAGGATAGTCTACATAGAGTAGGTGGTACTGACAATAGTCTGGGACTGGGAGAACTTTATAATACTAGTTTTTTTTCTTGGTTGGGGAAGAGCGACCTCAATGTGTGGAAAGCCAGATAATGAACATGCAAAGCTATATGGCTGTATGTTCCATTTGTTTTAATATATTTGTATATATTATATGAAGATATACTCTTTTAAAATGATTTTTACTTTTCTTTATTTTTTTTTTAAAGCTCTCTGTGCGCACACGCGCGCACACACACACACACACACATACTGTGTGTAACAGCAAAACTGTCCAAATCATCTAACGGCATAATTATTATCCCAGAAAATATTTAATACCTAAAAATCCACTAAACTGAGTTTTCAGATAAAACGTTTAGCCATCTTGACACCATTTTTCATAAGAATCACTGAAAAATTTGAAAAGAGAACATGTTAAAATCATTTAGTTTCAGTCCCATTGTCTTCCCAACTGAGCAATGGTGAGGAGAAAAAGATAATTCAGGCCTTCAGTAATGGTACCAACATTCATACTCTGGCTTCCATCTTCAAAGTCCATTCTAGAATCATTAAGAGAACAGCAAATAAGTTTTAAAAAGTGTGAGCAGTAGAGAGGAAAAATGAATCAGGAGGTCACAACAGGAAAAGAGATCATCATTTCAACTTAGAGCTAAAGAGATCAGTTAGAAAAGATCCAACTCAATCCATAAAAAGAAAGTTTGGCACATGAGAGATGAGTTTCAGCTATGACAGTCCAAAGAGCAGTGAAAAAAGACTTGAAAATGAAATTGCAGATAAAATCTGTGAGACACCTTGTTACCCCAGGAGAGAAAGTTAGAAGGTTATAGTGGGCAAAGATCATTTTAAATGAGTTGGAAAATGATCCTGGAATATATATATATATATATATATATATATATATATATATATATATATATATATATATATATATATATAACTTTTATATCAATCCTTCATGTGCTTCCAATCCTTAGCTTTGATTAATTAATGATGAACATGTCATTTTTGTTGATGGATTTCATCACAATTTTTCTGTTAAGCTTGGAGAGTAATTATACATTCTTATTGATCAAAGTAGTGCCCAATAGTGTTATAAAAACTTTGGAGAATTTCAGTAAGATATCTTCAATCATTTCTAAGATACAACAGTTCAGAGCTTAATCTAACAATTGAAAAATTTTGCTGCTCGACCATGTGTGTGTTTATATATTTTTATATATATATATATATATATATATATATATATATATATATATATATATATATATCACACACACCAACAAAACAGTGCTCAGAGACTCTGATTTAAATAATGACTTAATTTCATCCAAAGTGATTGATAGTCAATAAGAATTGAGGAGCTCCTCGGTACTTGTTGATTAATGATTGCTTTGTGCAAAATTCAGAGTAATTATTTGAATCTGAGTCCCAGAGTTCTGTTTCATTTCTTAATGTTACTTCTCTGTCTTAGTCTAATTTTAGATGCATTGAGCACCTTAGGTTTTTGTGTAGGTCGGTATCTGTCTTTGTTTTTTTTTTTTTTTTTTTTTTTTTTTCCTTTATTTTGTATGTTTTTTTTTTGATTTTCTTTTTCACTCTCATCTTTTCATATTTATTTTCCTTGGCTGGGTTATTTCCCAAAAATGTGGATGGTTCTGCATAAACCTTCAGCACCGTAATTAAATATGTTTGGGTAGCCTGGCTGTTGGTTGTGAGCCTCATATGTTGAAAACAGTGGGAGAGTCATATATATATATATATATATATATATATATATATATATATATATATAATCATACACACATACTTACACTTATACAAGCTTAAAAGCCAACCTGTTGGGTGGCATTTAAGCTAGCTCTTATAGCGGGGTCTTGATTGGGCCTTCATCATATCAGATGTGATAGGCAACAATAAACTATAGAAAAACTCAAAATTGGTCACTGCATTTCATCCATTTGAATATCTTGTTTGAATTTTGATAAATCTTTTATTGTTCAACATGAAACCTATTTAATTTTGTTTGTCTGGGACATGTAATTACTCAGACATTCACTGATGTCAATTTTTGGGGGACACCACACACGCACACGATATGTGCGTATTTGAACAAGTCTTAAGCTAATAGAAAAATAATAAAAATAGATGTATTGTTAAAATATAGTGTAATTGTGCTGCATTCATATTCTTGGAACATTTTGACCAATCCAGTCTTTTGGCTAGAAATCAGTTTCTGCTTGTATGAGAAATGATTATTTTTTTTTTTTTTTGGTCTTTTTTGTCCTTTTTTTTTTTTTTCTGCTTTTTTTTCCCATTTTTCATGTTTCTTTCAACTTTCCTCAGATTCGCATTAAAATGAAATGCCATAATTATTTTTTAAAGATAATGGAGTAGTTTCCCCATTGCCTTTTCCAATGTTTGGAATTCAGATTTGTCTTCATTGGTAGCACAAGTCGATACTCAACAAATATTTGGGAGAACAGAGTGGTCATATCTTTCCCAAGGGTATGAATGCAACTGACTAAACTAAAACTTGAACTCCACATACAATAGGAGTAGATAGGTTCTTCTATCACACAGTTCCCACTCTTTCCTTGTCTTTTGGACAAGAGTAAAAGTTTATCCCTTGTTTCCTGGTTAGGATTTAGTTTCTGTTTCCTTCTAAAGTGTTGGTTCCAATCTGTATTGGAATAATTGCAAAAACATCTCCCACCCCAAATTTATAAACAAATCAAACAGATGCCTGCTGGGATTTCTTCTAAGCTAATAAGATAGACCACTTCTCAGTCTCATCTGCCATATTTTTGTTCTTTATTGTTTTGATGTAAGAAAGCTGTGATTGCTTGTTTGTACACCCTTTTGTGTGTTAACACCATTCTTAATTTGAACATTTTGCCTTATTACTTTTGTTTTGCATATATTGTTTGCTCAGTATTATTTTTGCCCTGTTCTTTTCTTTCTCTTGTTATTATTTATTGCAGAAGTTGTCAATTCTGTTTGTTGGGCATTTCTACCAATTACATTTAACTCTGGCCAAATACTCTACATAAAGTCTTTTCCTTTGGTTTCACTTTCTGTAGCCTCCTTTCATCTTGGTAGCATCATCAGCTTGCTTGGGGTGAATTGATTAAAAAAAAGAATGAAAAAACATCAATTCTATTGTCCAGCCTAATAACTATTATACAACTTTAAGATGGTCTCATATTTGAGTGAACCTAAAAATGGGCTCCTGCAAAAATTTGTGCAGATTGGTGTAAGTCTATTGCCCGTGCATGTTGGTGCAGTTGTTTCATCCACTATATTTTTGTTCTTTATTGTTTTGATGTCAGAATGCTGTGATTGCTTGTCTGTACCCACTTTTGTGTGTTGACACCTTTCTTTGTTTGTGAACTTTTTGCTTTATTACTAATGTTTTGCCTACATTTGTCTAGCATATATTGTTTGCTCAATAGTTGCCTTGATCTTTTCTTTGTCTGATTGGTGTTTATTGCAAACTTTGTCAATTCTGTTTGTTGGCCATTTTTGCCAATTACATTTAAACATGGACAATGACTCTACACGATGGTCCGAAAGTCTTGTCACCCCGACCAAAAAGTAATGAAAAAAAAAAACAAGCAATACAATAATACAAAGCAAATGTACTGGATTCAGTTTATTTATTTTTAGTGGACCTGTCACACACCAAGAAGCCTCTCTTGCAAGCTGTAGGAGCTCATGTCAGTCACGTGAAATAAAAAATTATATTAGGTAGGGATGACAAGACTTTCGGACCACCCGGTACAATGTATTTATTCACTATTCTACACTATGCTCTCCTGCCATGTAGAGTTTGTGTTAGCAGAGTATAGTCTAGAGTAGTGAATAAATTTATGAATTTAATTTTATTTAACAAAATATAACATAGATAGCATTATGCAAGGGTTCAAATATGTAAATAGAATAAAATTTAACACATTCACTTATTTACCCAGGAAGGTGGTTTTTTTCCCGGTTCCTCAGATCACATTTCCAAGCATTAAAAACAAAAGTTAAATCAATATATATATATATATATATATATATTCCTGGGAAAATAAGTGAATGTGTTAAATTTTATTTTATTTATCATAATAATGTATAAGTAATCTTATATATGTGTGGCATAATTGATAATGGCTCAGAATAAGAAATCAGAGTTCAAGTTCCAGTCAGGTTTGTTACATACACTTACATACAAATACCACTGGAAATGTTATCGATCCATCTCACCTTTCCCAGCTAGGGGTTGAACAGAAGGAAAGACTGGGTCCCATAGCCTTGGCTGGCAATCTATTGTGGGAAATCTGCCTAGTCAATTATGAATCGAAAGAGACATGCTCGTCCTAACAGGTATCATGTATGGCACTTAACTGACTGTGTCTTATATAGCAATTTTTAATGTGAACTAACAAAAACATAGAAGGCATTATGTTGAGGGGCAAATATTCAAGGTAGCAGTGAATGTGTTCAGTCAAATATTTAAAACTACCCAAGTGTTACAATAAAAAATTAATAAAAATAATGAATGAACAATAAAAATAGAATGAAAGAAAAAAAGAATAGTCCAAAATGAATGCCACATATACTCTGGTATATGCAACTCCCTGAATTTTTTGCATAGATGCATTATGTAAGAGTTCAAATATTGAATGTACCAGGGAATTAATAAATTTAATCTTATTTACCAAAATAAAGCCTAAGTAGTCTTGTATACCAATTTCTAAGGTTGACTAATAAAAACATAGATGGATTATGTAAGAGTTCAAATATCTAATGTTGTTGGTTTCAGTTAGGGAATGACTGCAAAAAATTTCCCTCCTCATTAATTTATAGATACAGTGCTGGGATTTCTTCCTAACCAATAAGAGAGGCCACT